AGCCGCGTGCAGACCCTGCGGCACGCCTTCCTGGAGCTGCAGCGCACGCTGCCGTCCGTGCCGCCCGACACCAAGCTGTCCAAGCTGGACGTGCTGCTGCTGGCCACCACCTACATCGCCCACCTCACCCGGAGCCTGCAGGACGACCCCGAAACGCCGGCGGACCCCGGGCTGGGCGCCCTGCGCGGCGAAGGCTACCTGCACCCGGTCAAGGTAGGCGCTCGGGGCGCGCCGGGGCGTCGAGAGGGGCCCCGCCTGTAGTCTGCCGCCTGCAGATCTGTAGGGAAACCCAAGGCCACTTACATCTCGGCCCCGCGGACCAGCTGACCCTTTTGGTTCGCAGCGGAACGCTTAGCCGCTGAGCCACCAGGGCGCTGCCCATGCACGAAATAGCTGTGGACAGTTTCCACGGACCATGCTGCGTTTGTTCATATAATTTCGCTAATAGAATGGAATGTGTCGGATGAAGTGATCAAATTCTGTGATGGGCAAAATTAGCCAGGAGAATCCGTTTTGTCCAATTTGTTTACATTACTTGAAAGTGGAGTGGCCAGGGCTTTTGCTTTATATGATGGACAGGATTGCAATTGATTACCGACATTGCATTGTTTGGGGTCTTTCTTCCTGGATGGTTTACTTCAAAATCCGCATTGATCTCGCTTTCTCCTCAAAATGCATCACCGTCTTCATCATTTTCTAAACTTCAGTTTTAATTTTGGTTTTGCTATTCTGAAACTTTGCCACACAAACGCACACACAATTATGATGTGCCCTTAAGTATATCAGAGGTTAATAATTCTTGAGCATTTTAATTGAATTATGGTAAAATACATCCTTTTTTTAACTGTCCTCATGAATTTGTGGTAAAGTTTCACATAACTTGTTTTGTGAATATAGCGAAAGTGATAGACCCAAGCCATTTTAAATGTTAAATATAAAAATAATAATCATTATTGTATGATTAAGATAGATCTTATACTTTCCACAAGCTTTATAACATAATCTTAGTGGAAAAGTCTCTCAGGAAGGACTTTTGTAATACAGTGTATATTCGATTGTTGCTCAGATATACCATTAGTATTTATTTTGACTTCCATGTATCATAATAATGTTTATTTTAACATTAAATAGATTTGAATGCAAAAAGCATCTTTTACATGTCACCCTGTGGGGAGATACAATCAGAATGAGTCATCAAGTGATTTATTGGTTTCTTACAGTACTTTTTGAGTGTGCTCACAGTAAGCTTCTTAACCAGTTTCTCTGTGCTTGGCTCATATATCAAATAATATACTTAACATTTTTGTAGTCATAACTTTGTGAAGGAAGAAAATCTTGTTTGTCCTCTGAATCAGTTTTTTAGTTTTAAAAGACAGTGTTTGAGATAATGATATAATGTCAAAGGTTACCTTCTGAAAATGAAATGGGTGCTATTTAGACCAGATGTTTTAAAAAGCAAACATTTACCTAGTGTCTCCTATGTGCAAAGCACGTGTTAATAGAAGGACTGTAATCAGGAGTAAGACTTGGTCCTTGCCCGAAGCAGCAATGCAAAGACCAGAACTCGGAAGTAGCATGTTGTGTGCACTGTGGAAAAGTGCTAACCACGTGCTGTGGGAGTTCAGAGGAGATTTTACATGCATCATTGAAATGGTCTGTAACTCATGATTCTACACTCTCTTAAGTGTTTAAATCTGATTAATGCAACAGGAATACAAATATTCTGATTTTTTTATTAACTGAAAGTTCCTTGTAAACGATTGTAACTGCAAAAGGTGTTATTTTTCTGCCTTACAAGATAGTGTTACAAGAGTCTTTTTTTTTATCTTAAGAAATATCTCAAGGTCACACTTTTAAACCATCCATTCTTAGCATTGTAGGGGATTTATGTGAAGATGAAATTGGAAGGTTTGACGCTAGCATCCTGGGGTATATAGCCCAAACGCGGTTCTTATCCCTCTGGAATATAACTGACTCCCTTATTACTAGTGGCCCAAAGGGTTCTCTAAGAAAACAGTATATGTGATTCTCGCTTTGGGAGAAAACACCAGCGTACTTAAGAATTGCCTCATCCCTTGAGAATTAAGGTTGTAGATAAACATTTTTTAAATATAAGTATGGAGTTTTGTTAACTTTGCTAATTTAAAGCCAACAGTGCACTTTTAAGGTCTTTAGTTTCAGTTCTGTTTGAGTTTGCTTAGACTTTTTTTTAGCTCATTGAAACTGGTTTTAAATATACCCTATTAAGGAAAATAGAGCTCAGGATTGTGTTAAATCTACACAATGCAAAGCCAAATCACTGAAAAGTGTAACGCAGTCATCTGACTTGTTTAGAATCATACTGACATGCAGCCAAACCGATGCTTTATTTATATCGTAATTTTAATTATTTGTGTGTCTGCATTAAATTTAGCTGAATAAAATTATTAAGCCTTTTTGAAAATCCAAAGGCACAACGTTCTTTAAAAAGAAAGATTATTTTAAAAAAAAAGAAAGATTATTATTTGAATTGATTCATGAAAAATGAGACAAAAATCCACGTACATGGTATTAGGTTTGCTTCATGAAGCTTAGAGGAGCTCTGGTGATGTAGTGATTACGCTTTGGGCTGCAATCTGCATGGTCAGCAGTTTGAAACCACCAGCCCCTCTGCAGGAGAAAGACTGGGCTTTCTACTCCTGTAAACGTTTGCAGTCACGGAAACCCACAGGGGTCATTGTGAATCACCATTGACTCCGTGGCAGTGAGTCTCATGAAGCTTTAGCAGGGATCTAAGGAACCTGGAAGCCTGCCTTTGTCTCTCTCCACCATGGCCGTGTGACTTAGAGAGGCACATGACCCACGTTACCTGGGAAGCTTTCAGTAGTAGTTTGCTTTTATGTACCTTTAATCCGCATTGAATTCTCAAATAGCACTTGAGATTAGAGCATGGATTTTTGATGCTCATGAAAATGGGGCAGGATTGAGTGCTTTCTTTTTTTTAAAGATCAATGAAATTTAACAGTTTTATTGGCACTTCATCCACTTGTCATACAATTCAGTAGTTCAATCATACCAAGAAGAGTTGTACAATTGCTACCACAGTCACTTTTAGAACATTTTCCTCTTCCTTGTACTCATTGTTATTCATGTAATTATTATTTTTTAAATCATGGCAAAAATACACAACAAAATATTCTCCAATTCAACAACAGCCTTGTACAATCGAGTGCCCTTGATCATTCTTTTCGTGTTGTACAACCATTATTAATGTCCTTTTCCAAATGATTCCACCACCATTGACATCAACTCAGTGCCCCAAAGCAAACACTCTTCCTCCTTCATCCATGGTAACCATTGCCGAGTTTGGGTTCCTCCATTTTTCTTAAATAGTTAAGTCGCTTTTAAAAAAATGTATTTATTAAATCACAATCAATTCTAATATTCCCCCCCACATTCATTGTTTGCTCCCCAGCCCCTGCCCTATCCCATAAACCATTGCATAAAGTATTGTCTCCATGTATCTACTCCTTCTGTGCTTCATAAACTGGAAAAACTAAGAGAAACAATAAAAAACAAAAACATAATACAGAAGAAAATAAAAATCATATAAAAGATTAGAATAAAGAATAAAAAGGAAAATTATACCAACAATGTTTTAAAAGCCAGAGAAGAAATTTCTGTCGTGCAACAAGCAAGAAATATTCGCGCCTAGAGCAAATTCAAGTTGGGTCAGGGGGGAGGTCAACTGACCAAGTATCGTCTGATACCATGATTTGATCCATCCTGATCACGTTTAACATTATCTGTCTGACAGTAAAGCTGGTCCAGCCCCTGCCTGTGGCCAGAGAGTATCGCCAGGCTTCCTCTTGCCCGGATGCTTTGGATTCCGGGCTCCCACTGTCCTCCATAGCCTTTCACAATCGAAGCTTAGTCTGCTTCCCCATCGTCCTGCCTGCCTGATGGTAAAATACTGGAGAGATTGTCCTTCAGAAAGGGGCGTTCAGGAAAGTCAGGATGGTCCTACGAACGTGAGGAACGAGAGGCTGGAGCTGCAGCATGTCAGCACATCCAGCTGAACACCCACGTCGTGACCTCGGCACCTACCCAGGCGGTTTCTCTTAGCTCATGAAACAGCGAGGTGGAGAATTAGTCGCTCCACATTGTGCTTATTTGGTAATTGTAGACACACAGCACGTAAACTCCATACGGCATTCCTGGGTGGTGCCGACCGTTAACGTGCACTCTGGTCACCTGAAAGTCAGTGGTTCCAGTCCACCCAGTGGACCGGATGCCTCAGGAGAAAGAACTTTAAAAAATATCGTATAGCCAAGAATGCAATTTTAGGTTTCATTTTGTTTTAGGGTTAGCTTGAAAGGAAAACATCGTGTGTGTGTACTTCTACCCTTCAGCAATTACCTGTCTTCCATGATTTTCACAGCTCAGGCCCACATTCATTCTGTTATTGTTAACATGAGTAGACATTTTAAATAACTATTAGACTTGATAACGACAATCAATCATGTGTTCCTGGCTACATGATATTGTGTACTCTTGAGGTGTACCTGCAATGTATGCTTGAGAGACTTACCTTTTGGCTTCTTGTTGAAATACTCTTTTTCAGAAATGGCCCATGCGATCAAGGTTATACATCGGTGCCACTGGTCAGTTTTTGAAGCATTCCGTCTCTGGAGAAAAAGCTAATCACGGCAGCACTCCAGCTGATTCCCAGCCGTAGACGCGCCTGTGGCAGGGACTGAAAGGGATTGTTTTCAAACAGTATGAAATAACTATATTGTATCAGCCACGTCAAGCATTGTTTCTCAGTTTCTATGCGAATGCATAGTTGGATGTTGGGATTTATCTAAGTCAATGTGGAATGAAAGCTTCACTCTCGTGTAAGACATACAGTTTATCCAGTTTGAGTGCACAGTAGTCACAACCAAAGAGGGCAGAAGGAGCTGTATGCGTGGGGGGAGGAGATACATAAAAGCCAAAGAATTGTGCATATGTCCAAAGAATTCATACCTTTTTTGTAATGTGTCTATTATAAACCCAAAAGCTGATTATTGATCGTTTTCCTAGTTGTTGTTTTTCCTCCAGGGTGTGTTTGTAATACATCAGCTTCCATTTTTGTGAAAAAGCCTGTGTTTCTAGTTGCTCCGAGAAGATCTTTCTCTTGAAAGGCACAGAATCAGCCTTTGTATTGTAGCCGAATCTGCTGTGGCCCCTGAAGATGCAGTGTCTTCTCCACGTTCATGCCTGCAGGGGCCTCAAGGGAGCCCCCAGGGACCCTCCTCAGTCAGACTTTGACCAGGTTTCTTCTTTCCCCCGTCAGCTCCTGTTCACAGAGCCTCACTTTGCCATTATAAAATGAGAGAAATCCTCCTAGAGTGGGTAGCTTTGGCACTGACCCGAGGACAGAGAGTGACCGCCCCCACCCCGAGTCTGCCCCAGTATGAGCCACCACCAGGGAAGGCCACCCCACCTTGGGCGCCAAGTGCCCAGGAAGCAGCACCGCCACCCCTGTGCACCCTCGTTTCCCTCAGGACGGATGCTTCTTAGGGAACACTGGACGCCAAAACCACACGTCTCTCGTATTGTGTTTTTGCTGACCTGGTCAGGACAATCATTACATTTTTGATTGATTTTCCTCAGTTGCTCTCCACCTTCGTTTCCTCTCAGCGTTGACAGTGAATTTCTGAAGTACAAGGGAAACCTGTGATTCAGTTGATTCAGGAGAATAGGACCCTTATGTTGTGACTCCTATCTGATAGTGCCATTTTTATTACTTTTAATGTGAATACACTCCTTATAATGTGACCAAAGCATGTCTGTTTAAAAAAAGAAAAGACATAGTGAAAGCTTTCTCTATGTTCGTTTGTGTAGCAAAAATGTTTGTATATTTAAATATTTGTGAATATATTTACTCACACATAATATATAACATTAAAAGGAAGGAATAAAAGTAAAATGAAAATTGAGTTCAGCCATTCACTATTGTAAGTTGTCAGCATAAGAAATGTCAAGAGGAATTTAAGAATGGAGTGAATTTATAGCAATGCCATGGAAATACTTAATTGCTTCCTTATTAGCTTTTAATCAAAACATCTAAAGTTACCTAAAACCGAGGCTTAAACACTAACTTTTGATAGCAAAAAAGTCATAAAAATTATTTAACGTGCTAATATTACTAATATATTAGTGTGGCTATGGTTTAAAGGCATTTTAAGCTGGGGGAAACTGACTTTTGTTGAATTAACTGGATTTATCTAAATCAGGGCTCCTCAAACTGCGGCCCACCGAGGACATTTATCTGGCCCGCTGGGTGTTTTTGCCCGTTTTGGTTTTTTACTTCAAAATAAGATGTGTGCGGTGGGGTGGGCACACTTGGAGCTGTTGGAGTGTGAGATCGGACGGGAACCTGGTGGCACTCTGTCTTTCTGCTGCTTCTCTGGGGGCTAGGTTTTCCAGAATGACTTTGAACCCGCTGTCTATGTGTGTGCCAAGTGCAGCTACGAGCTGTTCTCCAGCTGCTCCAAGTATGAGCACTCGTCGCCTGGCCAGCCTTCACGGAGACCATCCACGATGACAGCGTGGCCAAGCGGCCGGAGCGCAATCAGCCTGATGCCTTTAAGGTGTCCTGCAGTAAATGCGGCCACAGGCTTGGCCACGAGTTCCTCAATGATGGGCCCAAGCGGGGGCAATCCCGCTTCTGAATATTCAGCAGCTCCCTGAAGTTCATCCCTAAAGGCAACAAATCTGCCTCCCAGGGGAAATTAGCAGGCAGCCCAACCCCAAGCAGCCACAGGCATTGGTCACCCCCCTTTAGAACTACAGCCTACTGACCTTCAGCAGGGAGGGCTGGATGGGGGAGTGGTGTTTCCTGACGACCCTACCCCCTGTGCCAAGATGGGGCCGAGGGCTGCTTCATCTTGGCCTCCGAGGCTCTAGGCTCGAGGCTGGGACTCTGGTCTTAGGGTGTCTGTGTCTTGAAAGACATAACACCCTAGGCTTCTCTCCTCAGCCTGGCGGCCCCTCCCTGCCTGTCTGGTCTCACCCCTATGAGCCCCAATTCCCACAGGGGCTCCAGCCCTCACCAGGGCCCGTGCTGACCCCCTAAGTTGTGTGGGCAGATGCAACCAGTACAAGGCCATGGCCCAGTCGGCGGCTCCAGCCCGGT